TACAGAAGGCACCATCTCCACTCAGGAAGGTAGGGGACACCAGGGGGAGGGGCAGACCTTGAAGCATGAGCAGAAGAGTCAATGAAGCATTTTCCTTTAGGCATTTTCAGAAACAGGCTTGCCAACCTTGGGCAAAGGGTCTATAGAGAGGAAGGTAGATGACCTTGATGGAGGTATGCAGGAACCGTTACCGAGACAAAACAGGTAAAGCATTTATTAAGTCCACAACATCCAGATAATGTTTAGGAGTGGCTCAGACAGACACCTCACGTGGAGATGATTTCCTGGTCTGGTCTACCTTGTGGAGTCACAGGGCATCACAGGGGACGAGCAAGGCCAGAAAGCCCCACGGCATTGGTCAACAGAGGAAAGCTACCAAATCTGAATTGCAAACATCTGGATCATCACAAGATGGAAGCCAGGAGTTATTTTTAATATTTCTTGGCTGCCATCAAGTAATTGTCTACATTTACGTATCCCAGATCTGGCAGTTTCCAAAATAAGATAAATACTAATTTATAAACAATAATTTATCAATAAGCAACTTTTGGGAGAAAAGCTAGGTGAGTCACCATTGCCCTTCCAGCTGTCTGTGCAGAGTCCTCTGTGTTGAAGATCAGCCCAGCCTCTCAAGATCTTCAGGGGTGAGCACAGGCATTTGGTACAAATCACCATGATGTCAAAGTAATGGATCCTGCATTATGACATGACAACACAAATCCTAGCCTTTCGTAGCTGTGTTGCAATATGGCCGAAAAGGGCGTAAGTGGTTTGCATTGCAATGTCATGTTGTGGACTCTCATGGCTATGAGAATTGGGACTAGAGACTCAAAAAGGAGAGGATCTGCTCCTTTTTCTTTTTCTTTTTCTTCTTTTTCTCTTGCAAGCTTTATTAACTGGAGCTTGGCATTATAAGATCACTTGGAGACATGGTGGAAGGGGGAATGGACTGTGACTTGAGAGTAAATGCTGAGGCAAGAGCTAGCACAGGAATGCACTCAGGGACTGTGTAGCCTGGTC